TAAAAAACATTTTTTTTTAGTACAAAAGGGTTGACAAGTATTGCTGAATCACCCTCTAATAGGCTGCACTAACTTTCCATTTATAATAAGAACTCTCAGCTGTGTTTGCCTTTATCCTTATCAGAACTTGGTGTTATAAGTCTTTCTATTTTTTGCTAAGTCTGCTGGCTAAAAAAAACCGATGCATTGTTTTAATCTGTTTAATCACTGTTAGGTTAAACATTTCTTTGTGTGTTTACTTGCCATTTGTGTTACTTTTGGGGTAGTGAGTCAGTGCATAGTAGGTCAAGTATCTTTTGTCCCACCAAAACACAAGTCAGGACAGGGTAACAGAGCTTGTCACAGATTCCCTGGAGGATTTTCCCATGTAGGTTTCCAGCAGATAGGTTAGTTTGGAGCCTGGCTCCTGTGGCTTGATTTCTATCTCACCTCATCATGTTGTTCGCTTTCCCTGAGTGCCGCAGTGACCGCAGTGACTGAGGAAGTCATGAGGCCCTGCTTTGCAGGGTCTGTGCTAGCTTCTTTGTTGTAATCCTCCACCAGGCAGGCTGCCGGTGCTCTAGCTAGAGCATTAGCACTGCAGGGGTGCCTGCACCCCAGATGGAAAGTCTTAGTAAGTAGGCGTAGACATTCACCTCATTTTACTAGGTTTATCTGGCTGTGAGAAAATCCGTAGCTTGTTCACGAAAGTAGGATGGCATTATTTTGGAAGATCCTCACAGCTTCCCAAGCATTAGGAAAGCCAGGGAATGGAATATCCGGGAAGCAGTATAGATAGTGAGTCCCAGCTTTTCTGATGGTATTACATAGGAGCCTTCCTGCCCAGCTTGTGTGAGAATGCAGGTGTGAAGCCACCTCCTTGATCCCCTAAAGCTCCCTCCTCATCAAGTTAGGAGGTTACATCAGCCTTGGAGGAGGATAAAGACACTGACCTTTGCTCTTCCTTTACATGTAAGGGTATCAAGAAGGCAAAGTCGAGGCAGGAGAGTGGGCTGACAGGAGCTTTTCTGGGGAGTTACAGAGCAAGCAGAGGAGGCCTTGTATTCCCAGCCTTCACTTATTCCCAGCATTCAGTGGAGTGTCCTCTGTTACGTTATGCACTCTGGGTTCAGTGATGAGCCTGCCCGTCTTGAGTGTGGAGCTGAGTAGCACAGCCATGCCTTGCTTTTGAGCTCTGAGGGTGTCTTTGCTGTTGGGATGCAGAGAGCAGGAGCATCCACCCCCACCCCACCTCCCACCCCTGCATGCAGTCTTCCAGCATCTGCTGCTGTGGCTGCTGGATGGTACATGACTGGGTCTTTTGTTCACCCAGCTAAATGCACTGGAAACCCACTAAGTACCAGTCTCCCAGGAGCAGGTCATCAGGAGTACAGAATCTGGTGCATCAGTAGGGATCATGCAGTGTGAAAACTCTTCCAGTAGAGGAGCAGCTGATCTCCTGGAGAGGAGAAAAACTTTGCTTTCAGTCTGTGGGTTGGGGCCAAGTCTTCATTCCATTATAATATACTAATTATAATTGACATCACTCCAAAAGCCAACAGATTATTACCTCTGGGTTAGGGGTGTGGTTCTCTGGTACAGTGCTTGTTTTCCTGCATGAGCAAGGTCCCTAGTTTGGGTGCTACATTTGATTTTTTTTTTTTTTTAACCCATTAGGAGATAGCCACAACCCATGACCGCATTAGCACACTCCTGGCCTCTTGTAGGGCCTCCTGCCATCTGGTTCTAACTGCAACTGCATCTGAGCGTATAGTGCAGCTGTCTCTGTTGAACTTTTTAAAAAACAGCTTTATCATGTAGTTCACGTACCACAAATCCACTCTTCAGATATTGTATGCAGCTCAGTATATTTTAGTACATTCACACAGTTGGGTAGCTCTTAGCACAGTGTTTTACAGTATCTTCACGCCCCTCAAGAGAAGCTGTCTGCCTCCTTCAGCCCCCTCAGCTAACTCCCCCCCACCCCTAGCTCCTCGCTCTACTAATCCCCTTCTGGTGTCTAAATTTGCCTCCTCTGAACATTTTATATAGATGGAAGTATTTACATTTTTACATAGTACTGCTAGTTTATTGGAAGGAATAGTTAATGTTTAGTTGGGTTTTTTTTTTTTACAATCTTTTTTAATGCTTAGTATTTTTTTTTAAATATTTATTTATTTTTATTTATTACATTTTTTATTTATTGTGTGTGTGTGTGGCCAGCTCAGCCCACCAGGGGGCAGGTCTGGCTGGCATGTGGTGCTGGGGATCGAACCGCGGTCCCTGTGCTTTGCCAAGCTTGTTTCAAGTAGGTGCTTTAGACCACTGAGCCATCTCTCCAGCCCCTTAATGCTTAGTATTTTTTGACCAATTTTGTGTGCTTATATCTGGTAATCTGAACAACTACTTTGAAGACAATAATATGCAATATAACAACCACTGTTGAATTCATACCATCTTGTTTTGTGAAATTCTGTATCATTTCCAATTTTTAAATTATGTTTTACTCTTTAAAAAAATGAAATAAACAAGCTGAAGTAGTAACAGCTACTGTAGAACTCCCTACATCTTCAGCATTTTTATCTCTGCTTCCCTGGCTGTGAGGCTGTGAAAAGGCTTGATTCAAGCTTACTGGTGCTATTTCCAAAGTGAGTACTGCGCCCCAAGGTGAGGGCCTCTGAAATGGCAGAGAAAACCCTAGGAAGGAAATTCTTTTTTTTTTTTTTTTTTTTTTTTCTTTGCGGAACCGGGGATTGAACTCAGGACCTTGTGCTTGCCAGGCAAGGACTTATTCTACTGAGCTATCTCCCCGGCCCCTAGAAGGAAATTCTGGTTAGGAGCTAAGAAAAGATCAAACCACCACATTATCTCTTCCAGGAGAAATCACAGATACAGAAGGACCTGTGGCGGATTGAAGATGTCCTTGCAGGTCTGAGTGCAAATAAAGAGAACTACAGAATCCTGGTGGAATCGGTCAAAAATCCTGGTGAGGGACCCTTGTGCTTGCTGTGTGGACTTGGTAGGGCTGGGCGGATGGCTCCTGGGGAGGTGGCGTCTGTGGTGCTGACTTGCCCTCTGAGGAAGATGGTCTTCATTGCATCCCTCTGTGCTTCTCAGAGAGAAAAACAGTGCCTTTGTTCCCTCACCCTCCTGTGCCTTCACCTTTGACCTTGGAGAGCAAGTCACCCCCTCAGCCCAGCCCTCCTGCCAGCCCAGTGCGGACCCCTCTAGAAGTTCGGCTGTTCCCACAGCTACAGACCTATGTGCCCTACCGACCTCACCCTCCCCAGCTGAGGAAAGTGACATCCCCGCTTCAGTCACCAACGAAGACAAAGCCCAAATTGGTAAGCTGTGGTGCTGAGGTTGGAGAGCCTTTCCTTCCTCTCTGACCTCATTGAGATCAGCCAGCTACCTCATGAGAGTAGCTCTTGGGTAAACAGAGGTGGAATGAGCTGAGGTTCTCGGGATTGGCAGAGCCCTGGGAGATAATGGTCTCACCCAACCCTCCCATTTTGCAGTTGGGACAGTTGAGGCCAGGCAAGAGGTAGTGACTCCTGAATAACAGCCAAGTTGCAGAATGTGTGGCTGTTGAAGAGGTTGTCGTGTAGAGAAGAGCAGCTCCTTTAGCAGCAGCTGGGCACTGTGCACAGCTGTGCACATACTTGTGAGTGTCCCGTAACCTCATGGCACCTGGAGAGGAAGGGCAGTATCGCCGTCCCACGGAGAAGAAAACTAAAGCCTCAAGGTGTTGAAAGCTGCTCAGTTCTCCATGTTAGTGATGACCAACCACATCTGACTCTTTTATTTTGTGTCACCATCCATCTAACTGGGTCCCCCCACCCAGGTTCTTGGCACAGGTCTGTGGTTCATGTGGTGGACTGGGCCAAGGCCTTGGCTTGCCTGCCATAGTGAGGGACGAAGCTTTTGGCAGGGTCTGGTGGCACAGGAGATTTTTAAACAAACAGAAGAACATGGCATTGGGAGGCCTGTGTCCTGGTCTGGGGACGTAGGAAGTAGTTGGGAAAAAGTATAGAAATTAAAGAGCAGAGCAGAGTTGATGCACAGACACTTTCCCTGTGCGTAGCTTCTCCAGAGGAAGTGTTCATGTGCCACGGTGGAAGTACTCATGCTGTGTGGCTCAGAAGTGACCAGTTCTGGTGGGGGAGATAGCTCAGCATCCTAGGTGCCTGCCTGGCAAGTGCAAGGATCTTGGTTCGATCCCTGGTACTACGTGCCGTCTGAGCTGCGTAGCAAGACGCTGTACCATATGAATAAATAAATTAAAAACATGGCTAGTTCTGCCCTGTGGGCTACTCCTGTGGCGGTGCCCCTTGGCAGACCTTCTTGTAGCTCTTGACCTGCTGGGTGTTGGCTCTGGCTTTCTTGCTGAGCAGGAGGATGAGGCCCCTCCTAGGCCTCCACTTCCAGAAGTCTACAGCCCAGAGGACCAGCCACCTGCGGTGCCTCCGCTCCCGAGGGAGGCCACTGTCATCCGGCACACCTCTGTGCGGGGCCTCAAGCGGCAGTCAGATGAGAGGAAGCGAGACCGGGAGCTGGGGCAGTGTGTGAATGGGGACTCAAGGGTGAGCTGGGTGGACCCCTGTGGTTGCCCCTGTGCATGGGGAGAGGGAAGCAGTGTGATGCAGGGTGGCTGTGACATCATCAGACTGTGCCCACAGGTGGAGCTCCGGTCGTATGTTAGTGAGCCCGAACTGACCACTTTCACTGGGGACATGGCTCAGCCCTCTCTGGGACTTGTGGGTCCTGAGAGCAGGTACCAGACGCTGCCAGGCCGAGGTAAGGCAGCACCTCCTGTGGAACCTTTTGGGGCCCCCAGCACTGCACCACACTTGCCAACCTGCAGCCCAGGCCTGCACCCCCTGCCTGTACCCATGGCCTGGGCTGCTGGCCTGTCCTCTTCCCTTCTGAATCCTGACTGTCCTTGTCTTGCATGTCCCTAGAAACTACTGTAATAACAATCACTAAGGCCTGACGCAGTGTGAACACTTCATGTATTTCCCTGTACTCGCAGCAGTGCTGCAAGGGAGTGCTGTTGTTCTCATTGCTGAGATCGGGGAGCTGAGGCTCAGAGAAAGGCATACTTGGCCAGTCACTGATGAATGAGGAAACCAGAAGACGGTCCTGGGGCTTTGGCTCCAGACCACTGCAGCCTGCAGGCAGGGGAGCTGGGTGACTGCCACCCGCAAGGCTAGCTCTGGCCTTCCAGAGAGCTTTTCCTCTGTGTTGCCCTAAAATTAGTGAATCCTTTCTTAAACACACTTTCTCCTCAATTTGGCCCCTGCTTGCTGTCCTCCCTTATCCCAAGTAGGGTTGTGCAGGATGTGTAAGAGTGTCAGAAAGCAGAAGGCTGAGGATACTCTTTACCCCACCAGCCTTGCCACCTGTCCTCAGCACAAGACTTCGACATGCAAAGGAAGTCTAGGGTGGTTCATAGATCTCCAGGGACACTATCTCCCGCTGTGCATGAAGGGTACCTCTGGGCTGCTGCCCCCATCCTCTTACCAGAGGCCTTGTTCTTCCAGGGTGTGAAGAGGACGATGAGTGGATTGTTGGCTGGGCCTCTTGGCCCCTCCTGGGAACTGGGTGGTTAGGGAGTGGCCTGGGACTGTCCATGCCACAATACACCTGACTCTGCTTTCCTCATGAAGGGCTCTCGGGGTCCACATCCAGGCTCCAGCAGTCGTCCACCATTGCTCCCTACGTTACGCTCCGGAGGGGTCTAAATGCCGAAAGCAGCAAGGTGACCTTCCCTGTGAGTGGCCGTGAGCTATGGGGAAGCTCACTGTTCCTTCACCCAGTGGGTGGGTGGCTCGGAGCTAGATGTAACTAGAGATCCTGTGACTCTGAGGATGGCCTCTGAGAGGTGACCTCAGCCTCTTAATGAGCTCAAGGTCGTGGTGACCCACAGCCCACTGAGAAGGCATTACTCTGCCCTCCCCACTTTCCATAGCCCACACTTAGCTACAGTGTGTCAGGTCAGGGGAAGGGGCCCTAGAAGTCTTGCATACTGGGCTCACTGTGGTCTGCTGTGACCTGTCACCTGGACAGATGTGGGCCTCCATGGCTATGCCTGCAGAGTAGCTGTTGCCCAGAAGACTCATGAGGCCAGGACACAGGGTCTCTGAGGAAGTAGTTTTCTGTGGAGCCCAGATGGCAGTGGGGGAGAGCAGGAACGGAGTGAAACCAGCGGGCAGCTGCCCTCCATACTGCCAGTCCAGCCTCTGTGTATTGCCTCTTTTTCCTCCTAGAGACCCAAGAGTGCCTTGGAGCGCCTGTACTCAGGGGACCACCCGCGGGGCAGGATGAGTGCGGAGGAGCAGCTGGAGCGCATGAAGCGGCACCAGAAGGCCCTGGTCCGCGAGCGCCAAAGGACGCTGAGCCAGGGAGAGAGAGCAGGCCCCACCTCCGCTCGATACCTTGGCCAGCCGCTCCCTGGGGACCTGGGCTCAGTATGTTAGACAGGCGGGCTGGGGCAAGGAGCAGAGCTGCCTCACTCTGAGCAGAGTTCACTGGGTCCCCTGCACCCAACCATGTCACCCTGAGTGGGCTGTTCATTGACCCAGCCAACGGAGAGAACACCCCACAGAGAGTATTTGTCCCAACCCAAGGCTGCATGCATCAGCTGGGCAGAGGGTGACCTAGAATCAGAGCATAAGCAGGAAGATCTCACTGCAGAGGCCTGGGAGCTGGAGACTACTTGCAGCTTGTTCTCCCAGCTGTGCCTGGCTGCGGCCTTTGCAGACACCACATCTGAACTAAGGACTGGGGAACATACAGTTCAGGGAGTAGTGGAGGAAGATGGTGATGTGATTTGATGAGAAGCACAAACCAACCAACCAGCCTCCCAGACTTCCAAGGCCATCCTCAGAAGGGAAGGCAACCGGGGCTCCCACAGCCCCAGGTGCTGAGAGGCCCCAGGCCCCAGAGAGCAGGGTTGCTTCCCCCTGGTGGTGCCCTCTGGCACTGTACCTGCTTAGCTGCCTTAGATCCCTTTTGGAAACATTCCATTTGACGTTTCCCATTTGAAATCCCACATTTCCCTAGACTTCTAGCCTGGCTGTTCTTTCCCTAATTCATTGCACAAGCTCTTTTGCTTTTAGAATTACTGCTCATTGCCTTTCTAATCCTGCCTGATTGTGTTTACAGAAGCTTTCAGTTTGCATTGAACATTGTCTAACTGACCTGTGCTGCTTGTTACCAGGCTTGTAATAACAGCAGCTCCTGTCTCCCCAGCCTAGCAAGCACTCCCAGGTGTGATTTACCTTTCCACTGCCCTCCTTGGTGCAGGACTACTGACCCCTAGCCCACTTGCCCCCAGGGCTGCCCCAAGTCATTGGCAAAGGTCTGGGCATTATCTGTTTATCCAAACCCATGCGGAATGCCTGGATGGTAAACACAGACTCCACATTTGAGTACGTTTCACTCCAGCAAGGTTGTTTGGTTTAATTCCTCTGGTCCCATCACTCAATCTCTTATGGAAAACCTCTTATGTTATATTTAATAATTTGAGTAGCAAAATAAACTTTGTATTCAGGTGGCCTTTTTATAGCTGTTAGCTCAGACACCAAAAGGTAAGAAACAGGACAGTCGTGTCTTCAAAAGCTGCAACCTTGGAAACTTTTAAACTTTATCAACAAACATCATATGGACTAATACTGGCATTTTACAACCTGATGTCGCAAATGTAGAGATTATCTAAACATCCAAACTTGAGTACTTGTGATTTCTCTCATAAGAAAAGACTTTTGTAAGTCTCTGCATCAGCGCCAATAAATGTGTTGCTTACTAACCATGGATTGGCGTGGTTCTTCCCTAGGACACCTTAGAGTCTAGTGAACTTTTCCTCTCTGTGGAAACAATCAGGCTGGGTTTCAATGAGGGCTGGTCTCTATTTGGAGCACTTGTGAGCATGTAAGAAAATGGGATTTTTCCTTGTGAATCATTAAATTCATTTATCCCTACTCTTTGGCTGCCTAATCTTTTCAAATTATAATTGGAAAACCATCAACCAGAGCAAATATATTGACTTGGATTCAGTATTGAGAGCTTGTGCTTGAATGGGTGAAATATGCTGATGTGGCTATGGGGTTAGGGTTTTGCAGGGACTTGAGGGGCAATAACACAGTTATGCCTGCTTGGGGCTCTGGAGTGAATGGTGTGGGAAGGAGAAGGTCTGGGATGCTCTGCATCTGCTTTATTCCCACTCAAGAGTGGGTCTCTCAACTAGTATTGTTCCTACCAACCTGTATGGCAATCGAATGCCTATGAAGGTACAAGTCCTGGGTGAATAGGAAGCCACCACTCTCATGCTTGGATCTTAAAATGATTGTGTTAATTTTCCTTCTTGTGAATAGATGTTTGTTACAAAATTGATACTGTGAAACATTCTTGGAACTATTTGATTTAGTATTTCAGTTTTGCATAATTTTTTTCCAGTTTAAAATATCTGCCCACATAGATACTGTACTTTTTTTTTTTTTCTTTTTTCCCTCACTACTCGCTTGATTGAACTCAAGACCTTGCGTTTGCCAGACAGGCACTGATGTGGCTGAGCTATATCCCAGCCATAGATACTGTCTTAAACAGTTTGTCTGCCTTACTGGCTCCAAGCTGTCCCTACCTGGACATCCCTGACCATGTTGCTAGTGTGATATCCCTCAGCCTGAATGGGATCTTTTGGGACCCCAAAGGAGTGGGCCTTGATTGTTCAGCCATAAAGGGCAAATCCATTCCCTGCAGTCTTGTCCCTGGTTCTATTTTGGGGTCACTCTGGTGAGCCTAAAGTGGTCTGTGACCTAAGAGTGGCCCCAGTGTAGAAATTGGCAATCTGGGGCAAGCCATGTGCAAGGGACAGAGGTCTTGATTTTCATTACAGGAAAATTTGCGTCACCTACCCCTACTGGGTCACAGCCACACTTTCAAAAGACCTCATACCCTCAAGACCCACCCAAAAGGGGATCCGCACAGCTCTCAGCAGTCAGCACGTGACTGCCATTAAACCTTCTTATTCTGTTGCCAGTGGAAACGGGAGCAGGATTTTGACCTGCAGTTGCTGGACCGGGCCATGCAAGGGGAAAGGAAGGACAAGGAGGAGAATGGCTGGTTGAAAGTGCAGGCCATGCCTGTCACAGAGTTGGACCTGGAACCACAAGACTATGACCTGGACATCAGCAGAGAGGTGAGGGCAAGGGCTTCCTTCACGTCCCCCCAAGAGGCTTGCCTTGGGGTTCCCAGGCTGGCTAACCTCTCCCCTGTGGGATATTGCCCTAAGGAGTGTAAGGCTCTGCTCCACTATAGCCTAGAGCTGATGGATACAGCTTGAATCCAAGTGTGTGGATGAAGGTTCAAAATCTGTACCTGTAATTTGGGTCCAATTACACTTGTAATTTCTCTCTGCCTCAGTCTCCTCGGCTATGACCTAACATTGTCAGGTTTAGCGGTGACAGGAAAGCCTAGCACGTACTAGGGGTGATGATTCAAAAGTTGCTGGTAGCAAATGCCCTTGGGAGCTCCAGGAGTTTACTTTACAACAACTAGCCAGTCAGGCCAACTTGGACTTTCAGGCCTGGGGGAAAACACTGGACAAGTTTGAAAATCAAAGGTAAAATTTCTAGCCTTGACCAACGGAATCTGAAGGAGACAGTGTAGAGTTCTGGCAGTGTTTTGGTGCCCTCTGGTGGCACACATGTGTCATAATAAGGCAGGCCCAGGAAAGCCAGTAAGTACGAAAAGAGAGAAACTCAGGGAAGAGGGAGGCTGTCTATGCCAGTGTCTCCTGAGGCCTGTGACATTCGTATGCTCTGCAGAGCAGTGGCACATGGTAGGGGTTCTGTAAATATTTGCTAAAGGAAGACTTCATTAAATGAATCTCACAGCATCCTATTAACGTCCCAGAAACATTTTTCTAAGGGCTTGGCCTACCCTGAAACTGCCAGAGAGGAAAGATCTCACCATGTGGAGGATGGATTGAGGTGGGACCTTAACAAAATGTCCCTGCAGAACCATCTGTTGGGAGAATGAGTACTGAGTTGGGCCCTCAGTGCCTTCCTCCTGTCCTTGAGGGGCAGGAGCCGGGGCATGCACGTGCACAGGGCAGTTACATCAGTGACACCCACCTCACCTGATAGGTCAGGGGTAAGGGGGTCTTAGAGACCGGAGGAGCGGGTGAGGAGAAGTTGCTAGGTTCTGGGGTCAGCTGGGGCCTCAGGGCCTGGGCCAGCTCCTGCCCCAGGCCTACTCTCTTTAGCACCTGAAACAGCCAAAGATCTGGGCTGCTCAGATTCACAAAGAGGCCTCCGTCCTGCATTGGCAGTGTGCCCTGCTCATCCACCCAGCGGAAAAGTTCTGTGTTATCTGTGGCCCAGATCCCTCCTGCTGCAACGTGATCCACTTCCTTCCTCCAGCTCTGCCCTTACTGGGGATAAGCACTTATTTCTTACCCATCTTTCAGCAAAGTGTGAAAGTTTGTGTGGTTTTAAGCTCTCAACCAAGAATAAAACCAACCTAGTCAAGAGCAAAAAAGTCCACTTAGGGACCATTAGGATTGCAGTCTGTGCAAACATATCCAAACAGCTTAAAGGTGTGCTCTGAAGTTTTACAAAATGGCAACTGTATCAGTAGCTTTCACCACAAAGTGGGGATTGTGATTCACTTCTGGCAGAAATTAAGCTGGGAAGAAAAGGATTAGGTGTGGTCTAAGTCTCAGTGTAGTTTGGGGAGACCTTTGTCCACGTGTCAGCGGAGATTAATGATGTTTGAAAGGTCGGCTAGCATCAGGTGGGCCTGTCTGCAGTTCAGGAGAGGGCCGGTTGCAGATGTGTGAGTTCTGATTAGCAGTGCTTTCCTTATTTAGATGTCCTGAGCCAATGCTATTCCATTTTGATTTTCTTTTCCTTCATAAATCCAAGACCGAATTTGCCCCGGGGCTGTATTTAGCTTGCTCTTAGGAGCTTCAGCCAACCCCATTTTAAAGTGCGTGTGTGAAATTTTCCTTTAGTCTTAGCCTTGAGCAAGATTTCAGCAAGCTGACTTTGCCACTGGGCAAGTGAGATACTGGGGTGGTTCGGATAGCAGAAGACACGGTGTAGCTGCTTCCCGTCTAGATCAGAGGCGCTTTTCTAGGACAGGAAGCAGTGTCCTCTCCTTTCATCCATCTATCCACTGGGGAAGGATTTGTTGAAAGGCTGCTAAGTGCCAGGTCCCTGCTTTAGACCGTGGGAGACAGAGATGATGAGAATGTGAATAAGTAGTGGGTGGAGGAGGAGATCAAAAAGAGGAAAGTCACTGAAGAAGCAGCTAGGGTCATCAGGGAGAAAGCCCCATCCAACCGCTGTGGGAGTGGCGCCAGAGGAGCCCACAGGGCCGTGAGCACAGCACTAAAGATGCCGGTTTTCTCCTGAGAACAGTTAGTCCCGTTGTTTGGCCTTATTCTTCCCTTCTCTTCACCTGTAAAAGATCATCTGGTATAGCTGGTGAGATAGCTCAGTGGACTAAGTGCCTGCTTAGGCAAGCACGGGGACCGGGGTTCAATTCCTGGTACCTCATGCTGTGCTGGCCCCATCCCCAAGCATGCTGAGCTGGCCACTGAGTCTGGGTGTGGTGGTGTACCCCTGTAATCTCAGTGTTGGGGAGGCTGAAAACAGAAGGATCACTACAAGTCTGAGCTGCATAGTGAGACCCTGTACCAAGTACATTAAAAAAAAATTATCTGGTTCAGCAGGACAAACATGTTTTTTGGTCCTAGAACCAGGTTCAAATCCCAGTTCCACAACTGGTTGGTTTTGTGATCTTAGCAAGTGAATTCACCTCTATGGGCTCTGTTCCCTTCCTCATGGTGTGTGTGGGGGAAAGGGGCAGAGAAGGTCCCAGACGAGAACATCTGTGGTTTCTCCTCCACTCCTGGTCCCCACCCAGCTGTCCAAACCAGAGAAGGTCTCCATCCCCGAGCGCTATGTGGAGCTGGATCCCGAAGAGCCCCCAAGCCTCGAGGAGCTGCAGGCACGCTACCGCAAAGCTGAGAAGATCCGCAATATCCTCACCCGGTCAAGGTCAGCCTTTGCTTGTCAGGTGTGACATGCCAAACCCAACCCCAAGTGACATCTCAGTCACATGTGGAACCAGGGCCATGCCTGCTGGGTGAGTGTTTTGCCTGTGTCTTAGTCTCAGGTGAACCCTACTCATTGGAGGGGGCAGGTCAGTACTCATATCAGTGAGCGGTACTTACAGACCTGAGATACTATCAAGGCCCCTTGATCCAGAATGAACCCATCAAGTACAGGAAGTGGAGCAAGCATGACAGTGAACAGACACAGGTAGAGGGCTCTGGCCTTGTCCTGAGGGGCCAGAGGCTTTGTCCACTACTTCCCTGGGCACTAGGCTAGGACTCTAGAAGTTTTTCTGCTCCAGTAGTCTCCATGGCTTAAAAACTTGTTTGAGGCTTGGGGAGATAGCTCAGTAGGATAACTTCTTGCCTGGCAAGTGCAAGGGCCTGAGTTCAATCCCTGGTTCTGCCAAAAAAAAGGAAAAAGAAAAACTTGTTTGTGAGCTTCCCTTTCAGACCTTGGTTAGTCATTTTTTGTCTGAATTCAAGTCGCCACCAGCTACACCCTTAACCAAGGCCTCTGGCCTTCCCAAAAGGTGTGGGGGTGTGGGGGAGTGATATCTGATTCTGTCTTAGGAGAAAGAAAGCCCACAGCTTGCAAAGTGCTGAGAGCCACCAGGCCAGGGGTCCCCCCTCCCTGGAGCCGATGCCCAGGGTGGAGAGGGCCCACGGCTGCTGTCTGCTCCTCTGCAGCATGTGCAACCTGCAGCCCTCAGCAGCCCAGGACCGCAACAGCCTGGCTGACCTGGACTCACAGCTGCAGGAGCAGGAGCGCATCATCAACATTTCCTATGCCCTGGCCTCCGAAGCTTCTCAGCGCAGCAAGCAGGTGGCAGGTAAGGCCATGAGTGCCCGCCTCTGAGGTCCAGGACTGCCCGCTGCTCCTTGGTGCCCTAGCTGGCCTGTCCCAGGGCCAGAGAGTCAGTGGCAGTTGGCAGATGAGGGCCAGCTGTGTGTTCTTCCATCTCAGGAGTGGTGTTGCTCTTTGACTTCAGCTTTTTCAGGCTCCAGATCCAGTGAGCAAGTTACTCTCCTCATGAACAATGGGGTGGAAGAGCCCTGGGTGCTTGGATTCATTGCTGGGCAAGGCAGAAAGGGGCCCTTCTAGCCCTCCTTGGGACCTCTGCTTTGGGCCCCAAACAAAGCTACTACTCACTTTGTTAGAGCACCCTGTGCCAGAAAGCGGAGCTTAGAAAGTAGGGCTCTGCTGGCCAGTTGCAAAAATTGTTGTCATGGGGTAGGAGCGCATGTATGTGCCCGTGTGCAGGTGTGCTTGCGTATGAGTGCGTACAGGTTGTAAAGGCTGCCTTCCTTCAGTCAGGCGAGGGACTCTGGCTCCTCCCTGCACCCAGGCCTCCCTTCTGTGGGTTTCCTCACAGTCCACCTAGTGTCACTTCTCCCCAATGATAGAGGCCACTATGTCTAGGTGGTGCTCCTGGCTGGAGGTGGGACTTGGCCCTGGAGCTTGCAGTGCGGTCCTCTAACCTTGGCTAAAGGGTCTAGAAGTTGACAGTGGTGGGGCCTGCAGAGCTGTGGCCGTGGGGGTCTGGTATGGGGATCAGAGTTTTGCCACCTCCCCAGGAAGCCCCGGGAATGAGTGCTGACAAGGGAGAGGCCGGTCTCCATGGGAGCCTGTTCACACCCTGATCCTATATCGAGTCCCCCAAATCCCTGAGGTCCTTACTCCTTCTAAGCAGTGCAGAGTAGACTGAGAGGTGGGGATTATAGCAGTGTGGCCAGGGACCCAGGATACAGTCATCCAGGGCCCTCTTTCCTGTGGCCCTGGGGCTCATTTCAGTACCTTCTGAGCTCCTCCCCTCAGTGTCCCCAACTCTGCAGTGCTTGCTTTAACTGGGGCTCTGCCACCCTCACCTCCGTGTCGCCAGCATGGAGCACCACCGCCCTGATGCCCTGGTCAGCTGTGGACCCCTGACACTCCCGCTCATGGGAAGCCTCGTGCACCTTTCCTTGCTCTTGCTCCCTATGTGTCGCAGGCAGATCAGCAACCAGAGGTCTGCACCCAGGTCCAGGTCATGTCGGGGGCAGCAGGACTGCACCCCCAGTCTTGACAAGTGAGGCTCTGGGTGCTGGGGAACAACTGACTTAACACGCTGCTTAATTCCTATGTGCTCTGTCTAGCGCAGCAGCTGACCCTCCTCCCATCTAAAGCGCCCCTGTCCTCCAGGACGGTGCCACCTTATCCCCTCTTAAGCAGCGGACTCCACTACACCTTTGTCTAACACCGTCCAAGTAAGAGGAGCCCCTGCCTGGTGCACCTGCCGCTCACCGCCCTCTAGTGCCCAGCATGCCCTCCTCTTCCCCCGCTGCCGCCGCTACTGCTGCCGCACTGGCTGTGCTCCTGCTCACTCATGCTTCCTCCTGTTGGCACAGCGGCCGCTGCGGGGACCAGTGGGACTTAGGAAGGTGGAGGAGCCAGAGCTCCTTAGGACCTTGTCCTCAGTGATCTGATGCAGCAGAGACTGTGATTCTGACTCCCTTCCCCAATGAGATCACCAGAGCCCCAGTTGGACCTGTCCTTCCCACTGTTCTTTCCAAGATGGCCAGCCACTAGCCATGCTGCAGACTTGGGCTTGGAAGAATTAAATCTTGGCCTTTGGAGCTTTTGCTAAAGAAAGAGAAAAACTATAAAGACTAAAAAAGTCCAGATTAACAGATGTTGGGACTGAGTCCAGGGAAGGGTGGGGCTCATTCTAGATCTCACAGCACTGGTGTCAGAGTGAGGAAGGAGCTGCCTTTGTAGCCCCTCAGCGGGTGAGGATATCCTGGCACCACCCCAGGAAGTCTCCAAATGAACGTCTGGCTGTGGGAGGCACTGGGATGGGGCAGGAGCCCTGGGCCAGAAGCCAGGAGGCTGGGATTGGGTCCATCTCGGGTGGGTACAAGGGCCGGGCATCTTGTTGCAGAGCCTGGTGTGTCACTCGGATAGGGGAGGGTCAGGCTGATGCCTTGGCAGCCCTGCCCCCGCCTTCCACCTTGCTGGCTTAGCAAAGTGCTCCCCTCCCTGCCCCTTACATTTGCTTGTGATTAATCTTGCTGAGTATCTGCCACGTGCCAGGCACTGTGCTAAGCACCTGTTTTGATCCACACAACCACCCTATGAAGATATCCGTCCCCCTTTTACAGATGAGGAAATGAAGCTCAGAGACCTTGAGGGACTCACCCCAGGAGTCACAGCTTGTAAGTGTCAGGTTTGGAGCCTGGGGGTGAGAGTCCACAGCCTTTGCTCCCCACTGCCACCTGTGGACTCATCAGGCGCCCCTCGGCACTCCAGGTGTGGGAGGCGGGCCAGGATCTCAGCAGGTGCCCTCCAGCCCAGGCTGCCTGGGCCTGTTCTCGGGAGCTGTGGAGTAGGCCTGTAAGCAAAGCACCATATGGGCCTCCAGCTGGCCCCTTGTGAAGGCTCAGGGACCTGCCAAAGCCAAAGGAGGGCACGTGCTTTCCTGCTAGAGGTCTGAGAGGGTGACACCACTCAAGCACGGAGAAGCAGGACAGAGGCTCTGTTTCCTGGTGTGTGGTGCCCCTGTGGCTTTGCATCAGGCCTTGAATACACTTCTTAAGCACATCCGTGTTCCTGCTCCTCTCCCGTCACTGGGAGGGATGCTTTATTTTTAGATTACAAAGATGGGACCCTAGAAGCTGAGTTCTCGAAAGTAATTCAGTGAATGAAGGGCAGAGCCATAACTGGACCAGAGTCTCACCCAGGCCCTTTGTTATATCGTGCAGGGACCCAATTTAAGGGACGGTGTCTGTCTGTACTTCCTAGAAGTGGAGGGAGGGTGGGGCCCAGAGCCCATGAGTCTGGAAGCCAGAGGTCCCTCAGCAGCGGCCGCATTGCCTGAGCCCCCTCCTTTGCTACTCCGTCAGCTATCGTGTGTGTGCCACATGCTGCTACCCGCTCCCCAGATGTGCACAGGGATCTGCCGACCTCATTGTCTCCTGTGCTTTTTGCCAGCCCAGGCAGTGACTGACCCGTGACCTAGCGTGCAGAGAAGTCTGGAGCCAGGGCCAAGTGGAAGCAGCTTCTCCCAGGAGATTGGCTCCACTGCCCCTTGCAGCTGAGCAGGTTCTGGCGGAGGAAGGAAGCGCACACCGACCATGAGGCGCCCCCATGGAGCTGGGTCCTAGCACGCACCATTCGTTCCAGTTCAGACTCCTTTTTACAAGTGACAAAGGCACTTTTGACAAACACTGTAAAATACTGGCACTGTATTTTAGAATCAGAATGCATTTTATACTGTTCACCTCCAGGGCTGCATGGCTGGGGCAGTGAGCACGCAGGGTGTGTAGCTGTACATGCAGGTTCAGGTACTAGGGGTGGTAGGTGTGGGTGGGGAGCAGACAGGGTGAGAAGGGGGCAGCCCAGCCTTGGAGACTCGGGCAGAACTGTGCGGCCTGTGGGCCCTCGGCTGCAGACAGCAGGCGCCCTGGACTGACCTCATCACCAGCACCGAGTGACGCTCATTGAGGATGCGCGGGAGCCACATCTGTGCCTTGGCCCTAGGTTTTGGTTTAGGGGCAGCAATGTGTTTGCGAGCTCTGGGCTCCCCCGTCCCCAGGAGGCTCTGAGCAAGGGGCTCTTGAGAAGCAGCAGCTTACTTTCATTAAAAATACATTTTACGGTACAGAAAACATGAGAAGAAGCACCTTTTTGTATCATAGCAATGAACTATATGGGGCGGCATCTACGTGAGAGTCTCTGACCACTGACTTCCCGCCAAGCAGATGTGACTGGAGCCTGTACTGCCTGCCTGGAGGACCTCTGCTCTAGGACTTGGGTCTGGTGGCAGGTGGCAAGCATTGTGCTCTCTGCCAGCCTCAGCGAGTATGTCACAGACAAGGGCCACCACAGCAAGACTTCAGCATGACTTCCAGCCCCCGATGAGGAGGCGGCTGCCGCGCCAGGTGCAGTGTTTAGGGTTCTTTATTTAAAGTTGTCTCACAATGTTCTGCATACAACAGTGTTTAAAAGAATGAAGACTTCCATTGGGTGGAGCCACACTTTAAATGAAAATTTGTCTGTGACTATGCTAAGAAAAAAACAAAGAATCTTGAATATATTTAGAAGTTGCGGCCTATTTTTAACTAACTCCATATGCTGCCAGTATCAACTTCGTGACATTTGCCAAAATAAAATTTTATTTTGCCTTTATAAGATTTTGTTGGAAAAATGAAATGAGTATTTTGCAAGAAAAAATAATTTAAATAAAAGTGTAATGGTTTTCAGGAATACCTACAAAAACAAATATGTGATACAGATTAAAATGCCGACCTGACGCCTACCCTGCTCCTCGGTGACCGCATTCTCTCAGACGCTGGCTGGGGGTATTTCTTGGGAAATCCCCGTGGTCAGCCCTCACCTGTGAAAGTCCTGATGACAGTTCCTGGTCACTCACTTGCCCTAGGGCACGTAGTGGCCGGCAGCCTGGCTCCTGGGCTGTGGCTGGGCGTTGGCAGCGGTTCACGGTGGCCCCCCGTGGCCCCCAGCCTAGGAGCCGAGGGCTGTGGATGCCTGTGTGGGGCTGGTTTGGCCGGCATTCTGCAATCCAATCCACGACAGTGCTGGGGACGGAGGCCACAGGCCCCCTTCCAACCCACACACCACTAACCACTAGCTCGCTCCAATGAAGTGGGTTAGTGACGGACCATTGCAAACTGGATTTGTATTTAATTCATTTTGACTTGTAATGTGTGCTTAAAACAGAAGGCAGGAGGCCAGTTCAGTGGGGGGTTGTGTGTATTTCCAAGTCGTTGTTATGGCAGTTTTTCTCCACTTCCAAGAGGAGCGTCCCGAGGTTTGGAGTGACTGTCCAACTATTTAAACTGGGGAAAGTAGATACCAAAGTACTCTGGAGAGAGAGGGCTGCTTTTTAAGCTAGTGATATTTTTGAATTTTAAAATAAAATATTCTCTAGTTTTAAACATTACTTAATGTTGCCATAACATGAAAGGAGTGGGAATGGTGGGATGACTCCATCACTGGATTCGGTGGCATCTCTCAAGAAAGAAACTCCATGAAAAACAAACAAACAAACAAAAAACCATCTCCACAGGAGGTGGCGCTCATCCCATGGCGGCCATCTGCAGATATTCTCTGTGCAGACTTGCCGGCGGTCTTCACAGACTTGGCCACAGGGCCTGTGTCACACGCAGTAATCCTGTGTATGCAGGAACATGGCAACTCTTAACTAGCTGCTGTTTCCAGAGCACGCCATCGGGGAGGAGGGCAGTCCTGTTAGGAGACTTGCGCTCCAGATTAAAAGCTGAGAGCGTAACCAGCCCTCAGCTCAACTCAGCAGGAAGCACTGGAGGTTCACAAAAGGCACTGTGTAACAGGCAGCATGGCCTAGCCCTCTGCAAGCCTCCAGGAGGACTCGTTCCCTGAGGTAAAGTGGGGTTATCTGTGAAGTCCTGGCGCCTAGGGACACATGGGGGTGAGGGAGCAACTCTGGGGATATCTGTGATCCAGGGAGTCCAACTTGCCTTCCTTACAGGGACCCAGGGCCTGAGCAGTTTTAAACAATGGGATTAGAGTTGACAAAGAGGGCAAGAATAAACATGTATTTATTGACCTCAGTTCTGACTTTTACTCGGCCCCACATAGGGCCAGTATGTCTGTCAAATTTTAGGAAGAGCCACTAACAGCACTTGAGGATTTAGTCTCAAACAGGGATTAGGAATAAAACTGCTTCGTAAGTCCTGCTTGGACTTAGGGAACTACTAGTCCCCAGCATGTCCAGGATGTCCTTCATGTGGGTGCATTGTACTGGCATTTGCCAAGCACAGGTGAGGTGGATGTGGCCAGGGGCATTGTGTTGGCCCCTGGTGTTCATTCTCCCGCCTGCCTTGATGCTGGGCTACCAGAGTGGCACTCAGCTTCCTGCCTTTGGGGCCTGACTGTGGACACTGTGGGTTTCCCTGCCTTTTTTGGTGGCAGCCCAAGTCCAGGAATCGTCTGGCTGCCTGCCATTGCTGTCCAGGGATCTGAAGATGTGCTGATCCAGTCATCTCGGGTAGGGAAGGAGAGGGGCACAGGCGCTGGCTGAGGCTGGCGAGAGCTGGCTTTGGGCTCTAGGCCTTTCCCTCAGCTGCAGCACAGTTCTCCGTAGTAAGCCTTTTTGCGTTCTCACCAAGGGTGGAAAAGCAGCAGCAAATGATTTGTCTAATCTACAAATCACATTTCTGAGCCATGGCAGGCCAGTGCTGGGAGCCCTGAGCTTCCAGCCCGGCATCACACACGTGGCTGTGCGAGGGCCTTTGCCAGTGTGGGGTGCGTATCGTGATGAAAAGAACAAAGAGCCCCGGCTGGGGAAGACATGAAAACTGGCCGCTCCTCCCGGTGCCGTAAGCACGCCACTGCTTTGCCACCTCCGCTCAAAAGGCTGCCACTTTCATTGCTCCCCCAGCAAAGGAACCTTTCTTCAGAGTGAGTGGGGTACAAAGTCAGAGCGCAAAACGTGCGCACATCACAGACCCCGCAATTCTGTTTGAACAAGCATATTGATTGGGCCTGACCCTGTTACATTTTTTCCCTATTATTTGAAAAGGTGCATCTAAGTATAGTGAATTGAACCAGCAGAGCTGAACTTTCCATGAAAACTTCTTGAGGTATTTCTTTAGTTCAAAGCTTTTGAATTTTAAAGGGCATTTTTAATATGAGTCTGTTGAGTATTCTCTGCTACAACCCATCACGGCATGTTCAATGCAGATGAGGCTGGAGTGGAGGCTGAGGCCGGCCTGGAGGTGTGGATGAGCCTGGTCTTGGGGATAGAAGCTGAGCCCCAAAAGGGAATTCTCTGGGCACACAGCGTAGCGTGGGCACAGGCGTGAGCCTTCACAGCTGAGCTGCGCCAGCCAGGAAGCGCTCACCCGCATCTTCTCCGCCGTGGAGGCTTGTGCTGCCTGCGTGAGGGCTACCTTGCTGCCCAGCCACTCAGCCTCTCACTGTACCTTACAGCTGAGAAGAACTCAGGAGGCACAGTCACTTAGTACCTGTCATACACCGTGACTCTGTCCCTAGCCACCTTGCAGCCCTGGGAGGATCTTAGGATGAGCCACGGCTACTTTCCCTGTATCCTGAGCTGCATCTCAGTGCTTAACTGACATGATATCCTGGACGTCCTGTAGTGGTAGCCTTTGCAGCAACCTGGCCCTGGGCGCTGGAGCTTGTCCCCTGCTCTCATGTTCCCCACAGGAAGGAGAGCTCTTTGGGCCTGCTAGAGCACTACGTGTCTCTTGACCAAGTTTCTGCTTGCCTGCAGAGGCCTCTTGGCTTTAGAAAGCACCTTCTAGATCTAGATTTCAGGCTCAGAGGCAGTCTTCCTGGGAGGGGCTAGAAAACTTGGGGCCAAGGTGGGACATCTCAGCAAAATGCTTTAAACAAAGATCTACCCAAATTTCTACCTAGAGACAGTAACCTGGGAGAGTCACAAAAGAATCACATTAACATCAGTGGTTACCTGGGCCCAAGGCTGCACTGCAAGCATTTTCTTGGCTGTCACTTTCAGGCCTGCCTTCTACCTATTTTTGTTTTGTCTTTTTGAGACAGGGTCTTGCTATGCAGTTCAGGCTGGACTTGAACTCACTTTGTAGCCCAGGCTGGTCTCGAACTCACAAAGATCCAACTGCCTCAGCCTCTTGCGTGCTGGGATTACAGGTGTGTGCCACTATACCCAGCTACTTGTATTTCTGAAGGACACACTAGCCAGTGGACACAAAGCAAGTCCCAGTGACAGTCATGACTTCCATTTTCTGGCCTGTTCCTAGGTCTGCTCACCACAGGGGACCTTCCTGCTGTCTCTCCTGACTGTTCCTGTGAGGCCCTGGACTTTGCCACCCGAGCTCGCCACAGTCCTCTTACATCTCAGTATCTCGGAGCCAGGGAGATGGCTCAGTAGGATAAGCACTTGTCAGGCAAGCACAAGGGTCTGACTTCAAAACTCCAGTTCCACAAAAAAAAAAAAAAAAAAAAAAAAAAAAACTCAGTATCTCACTTGCAGCTCCGAGCTGTCTGCTGGCCGGAAGCTCTAGGTGGCCTCTCATCCCTAGCCCTGCTGTGCCTGTCTGGTTTGTAGCCCTTTCCCCAAGCTGCAACCCCTGAAGTGCTGGATGAGTTTGTGCCTATAGCTGCCTTGGCCAAGCCCAGGCTGTGGTTTGCACAGCAGTGGGGGACGATTTTGCTCTTTCTTCACCCGAGTCTGAAATTAGGGTCTTGGGCTCATTTACTTGGAGCCCTGAAGAGAACCTGTTTCTCAGCAGCTGCCCAGGGCCAGCAACATCCTCTCTGTCCCTGTCTCTCCTTCAGAGACTCAGGCCCCTTTTCAGTTACCTATTGGTGTGCGATACACAGTCTAAAACTTAGTGCCTCAGCCCTGCAATAGTTTATTATTTCTGTGGGACTTGGCTGGGCAGATCTTGGGCTCTGTAGGTGAGGGACAGAGGAACTGGCATGTCCTTGGTGACTCCTTCACTTGTTACTCTGTTACGCTGTCAGTGACGATGTCTGTCACCAAGAAGGTCCTAAAGAATAGTTTGTTCCATGAGGGGATGAAGGAATGATGAGGCTATGGCCAGAGAGAGTTGTTCCTCAGATGATGTTGTGTGACTGTAGCCACCAGAGGATCCCTAGTGCCTTATTTCTAAGTCCCTGGAACAGGGCAAGGAGTTGAGGAATTTAGATCCACCCTCCTTGCCATGACTTGGGCAAGTCTATTGACAACCCTGTACCGCAGCCTCAGCCCCCTCTTAGAACTGAACTGAGAGTGCCTACCTTCCACAGGCCATTACGAAGACTGAGGTAATCCTTATGCAAGTTCCCGCCTTGAGCACCCAGCAAATGTTCACCCTACAACTTTTTTCCTCAAGTCTGATCCTGTTTATAAACACAATAGGGCTCAGGGTAGTTCCTTCCATTTTCAAACCTTGCCTCCTTTTCCTGGCTGGCCAGGCTAAGCAAGTCATCAGCTCCCACCCTTTGTCTGCCATTTCTGGCAGTCTCCTACAGTGGGTAATGTAATGGCTCAAGGCTTTTGAAGGCTGGGATTCTAGAAGCCAGGCCACTGTGAAGCTGCCTCCCTCGGCTCTCCCTGAGCTGAGGACAGACAGGTCCTCGAAGGCCTCCTCCTGCAGCCCTGCGGCTGTCCCTTGACATCAGATCAACCTGTACAGTCCCTTTGATGTCAGTCCCCAAACTGGAGCCTCATGCCCTGCTCTGAGGACCTGGGCTTTGAAGTTGGCCTATAAATTGAGCTTTCAGGAAGAAAGTTGTCTGTTGTGCCTGAGCACGGCTGGGTCCTGTAAAGGCATGCGGAGTGCCGTGAACACCTGATAAATAATTCTTTCTGGGCCCAAGAAAGAGTCGTTCCATTTAAAGGGGAGGAAAATTCCCTTGACCTTTCATTGAAGTTCAGGGTGGGGGTAGATGAGTGGGTTTTCATGCTTTCCCTCTAAAGCACTCAGGGCAGGCAGGTTGTCTGAGAGCTGAGCTCTCAGGCTGCTCCAAAAGGGCTCCCTGTCTCTGCTTCCTTACCCCAGGCTCCCTCAGCTGACCCACTCCTCCTTGCATCCCCTGGTCCTACCATGACCCAGGGAGAAAACTGGGGCCTGTGGCAGGACAGAGGCCTTGTGACTTCACCCCCTCAGGGCCAAATGTGGGCTTGAGGGTCTAGCATGGTCAAGGGGTGAGGGAGACAACAGGATGTCTGGGATTGCCACCTGAAGGCCAAAAAACAAACCCTAGCTGACATGCTGAGCACTGACGCATGCAGGCCCTAGGCCAGGCCCCTCCGCCTGGCCAGACAATGGGACGTGACTGGGTGCTTAGCTTTCCTTTATGGCAAAATGCAGCAGACACATAG